AAAAAAAAAAAAAAAAAAAAAAAATCTAGGTCAGATCACGTCCCCCTGCTTGAAACACTCCTGGGCTCCCACCTCCTTCAGAGCAAAGCCACAGCGACCACAGGCCCTCCGTGGCCTGGCCCCGATCATTTTCCGACCCCACCTCTTACTATCTCCCTCCCATTCCTCCCATCCAGTCGCTTAGTCCTCGCTGCTGCTGGAACACACTGGAGATACTCCTGCCTCAGGGCCTTTGCACTTGCTGACCCTTCTGCTCGGAATGCCCTACCCCCAGACGCCCACCGAGCCCACTCCCTCAGGGCCCTCAGTCCACGGTCACATGGCAGTGAGACCCCCGGCCTCCTATTTTGAAGGGCGGTCCTCCCCACCCCCTTTCCCACTGTCCTTTCCCTAAGGCACTGAGCGCCTTTTAACACACCAACTCCGTCCCATCAAGAGAGGGATTCAGTCTCTTCTGTTCCGCCATCACCCTACACCCAGAGCAGAGCCTGGTGCTCTAAACACTCGCTACATAAATGTGTCCCGAGCACTGCCCAGAGCAGGGTACACAGGGACTACATGTCGGGTCTGCGTCCCACCACCCGGCTCCCCACAGCAAACTGTCACAGGGTCAGCACAAGGCAGGAGCCTGGCCCTGGCCCGACCCAAACCCCACCCTCAGTGGGGCTGACTCTGGGCCTTGCACACAACAGGCGCTCAATAAACACTTGTTTCCCTGAATGGACGTCACCTGGCAAACATCAGGCCACTGCACCTCCTTCAATGCCCGGTGTATTAAGCATTGAAGGCCACACCAGTGCAGGGCCAGGCATGAGCCCGGAACACAGGTATGGGGCAGTACGGGCAGGGCACACACAGGACCGCTGAGAAGCAGCCCTGGGGGTCCTGCAGCAGAGAAAAGAGGAAAGAAACGTCGTGGACTTCAGGGGCCAGGGGGCTGTTCCCGAGAGCAGCCCCTAGACACCACACAATGCCTGGAACGTGCATGGGTCTCACCTGAGCGTCTGGGGCACATGACCCCACATCACTCTCCTGTGGCACCTGGAACAAAATCAAAAGTCCTCCTGAGGCCTGCAGGGCTTGTGGACCAGGGCTGCTGGCCTCCCTGACCACATCACGTGCCACCTCAGCGTTTCATTCCCTTCAACCTGGCCACTCAAGCAACCCTCTCCCCTTCGGGAGGCCAAGCCCCCTCCCTCTCCAGGCCTGAGACTCTGGACTTTCTTCTTTTAAAACTCCACATGAGTATCACCTACTCCTCATTCTTTGATCTCTGCTCACACCTCACCTCCTCTGGGAGGCCCTCCCTGACTGCTCAAGCTAAATGAGCATACCTCTGCCTAATTACCCTTTTTTTTCCCTTCATAGCCCTTGGTGCTCTCTGAAATGCTCCTGTACGGTTACTTCTTTATTTTCAGTCTTCTTTAATGAAATACAAATCCATGGGAGCAGGGAAACTTGCTTATTGTTTTTTTTTTTTTTTTTTTTGCACCCAGTACCCAGTCAGTGTTCGATATAGACGTGCTGCGTGACTGAATACTTCTTCACCTTAGTAGGTCATGTGGAAACCATGTTTCTCCTTTTGCTCTGGCTGCCAGGGAGCTCCAAATACATGGCACAACCATAGCATCTTGGTTATGTTGGCATATCTGAAGTCTCCTCCTGTCCTTGACCTCAATTTTCTATTTGGGGCTCTACTTGTTTGCATTATTGCTTATCACATAGTAAGCTGCCTTCAGGCTTCTGAGGTCCCAAGGCCAGGCATGCAGTCAGTCCCACACCGTTCAATGAAAAGCCCCTCAAACGGAGGGAGCCCTGGAGCCCATCCCCCATCCCCAGCGTTATCCTGGCACTGGCTCCAGCCTGGCGCCACTCTGTTCTGGTCTCTCCCTGCCCCCACCCTCACCCTCTGCACTCTGGCAGGCATGTCCTCCTGACCGAGCTGCTGGGCTGTGACCACACATGTCCGGGCCCTGGGAAACCAGAGCAGCCAAGTGCTGGGCTTCGTGCCAAGGCCTCGCACACCTCGCTCTCCCGGGAGCCAGGTTTCAACCTCTTCCTGGTAATCTTTCATGAGCTCACACTGTCACGGATCCATCTAGAATTCTCACAGCTCAGGCCGGCATGGAGGAGGACGGAGGGCAGCTGCCGTGGCCTGGAACCCGGAAGACCTGACCGGATGCCCTGCCTGGGGTCTCCCCCGGGCCTGCTGGACTTCCCAGGTGACCTTGAGCAAGTGGGGCCTCTTTCTGGGCCTAGGTGTTTCCACCTATGGGGGAGAAGCCTGGTGACCTCTGGCGCCCAGTCTAGCTCTGAGTCCAAGATGAGTCCTGCTGGGAAACCTAGCGGTCAGGGGTCAGGACTCCACGCCCTTGGGGACAGAGAACCTGTGGCACCCCTGACGCAGCAGGTTCTGAGGCCACCCCGAGCCCAGCCTGCCCTCTTCTCCCACACAGGGGACTGACTGAATGCCTCTACCCTCAGAACCACACTGACGAGAGCCATGCAGCTCCTCTAGAAGGAGGTCACCACGGGCAGACCCCATGTGCTCTGCAGGTGGGATTCAAAAATCTTCCAATGAGTTGCTACATTAAGAAATCAGGAACTGTCACTTAACCATCTGGATTTCTGGCTTCTCTTTGAAAGCTGGGCCCATGGTGGAGGCTGGGCGGCAGCCACCAGCTTGGGAAGGGCAGGAGCTCCAGCTGTCCCAGACACCACCCACCACTTGTTTATGTTCCCGGCTGGGCCCTGGGGCGTAAAAACTCAGTTTTCAGCCCAACAGTTCCCGACACGCCTTTAGCTGCAGAAGCCCTTGAAACGGCATCTTATACTTTAGCCCAAGGTAAAAATAGGCCAAAGTGGAATAGCTTTGGTTGAATGGGGACAAGGGACTGGGGCCCCCCCACCCATCATCCCAGCAGGGGTCTTTGAGGCCTGTCCACATAGCACAGATTGAAAGTCACTGACGCAGAAGCCCAAAACCCCAATGAAGGTTCAACCCCCACCAAGTGGCCATCCCTGCTTTCATACTCCCAAGGATGGGGAGCTCACTATCCCCTGGAGTAGCCTAGCCCATCCCTGGTATCTGCCTTTCTAGGACACCTCTCTCCTGTTGGGGATCACAGACTCACATGCTCCCCCTGCATAGGGACAGGAATGGAGCCCCTCGAGGCTGTGCATCCCCAGGCTAAGCGGCCCCCTCCTCCAGCCCCTCCTTCTGGCTGGCAGCCCCCAGGCCCTGTACCTTCAGCTCGTTGAGATAGCGTCTCGTGTGCACCACCAGCAGGTCTTCGTCCGAGGCCTCCCGTGCCTCCACCAGCATGCTGTCTGATAGAAGTTTCTCTTCTGAAACCACAAAGCAGGCCCCATGCATCCCTGCCACCTCCAGGCCAGGCCCAGCCCCAGCCCCTCCCACAGCCTGCAGACTAGACCTCTGGCAGCCCTGTCCCAGGACAAGGTGGGCCCTGCTGGCTTGTGGGCGGCCTGAGAACGGGCCACCTCTCAGGCCAGTGGGAACAGAGGCCATGCCCTCGGGCCAGGGGACATAGGACGTTGTGCACAGCGATCCTCGTGTTTCCCGGGACACTGACAGCCGGGAGGCGAGCTCAAGTGTGACTGGACACCTTCTAGAGGCAGGTAGCACACGGGTCATTAACGCTGACTCTCAAGGTGAGAAAAAGCTCTTCTGATCGATTCTCCCTCCACCTTGGGATGACATCATGGGGGGTTTGGTATACAGGGGGCCTCTCTTTAACACCTGCCTGACCCTTGCTCATCTCCCTTTTTTTAACCCACCAAAAGGAGCAATCAGTTTCACAGTCCGCAGCAACAGTATGCTGCCTGAGCTGAAATAACACTGTTGTTTTCATTGCATTTATTTTTTACCATGACCTTCTATTTATGGCAAATGAAACTGGCTTTTTCCATTTAGATGACATAATGTTTCCTTTTAAAACAGGTTGATTTAAGTTTCTTAAAACAAAGGCTAAGTCAATAAAAACTATGAAGTAAATAATGGAACAGGTGGTATGAGGCAATGGCAAGGTCCCAAGAGTGGTTTGCAAATGACTGATGTTTGGGAAAAACCGTGTTATTTCATTACCACATACACATACACCAGACAAGACTTGCTCCCTTTTGCAACAGAAGAGATAAGGCAGAGAGGACGAAGTGCTCTAGGGCACAGTGACAACAGGACCATGATGCTCTGGTTCTACGGAAGTCGAAGGACAAGGTCAGAATCTAGGGGACCTATGCTAATGTGTCACTCTTAGAAACCAACCCTGGTAGAAACCAAATAGTTCCATACACTTCTCACAAAGAGCTCCACATACAGTAGGTATCCGCCCCGCCCCAAACACTCCATGGCTCCCCACTGCCTTCCGGCAAGGAACCAGATGTTTTCTTGGCGGTGTCCAAGGCCCTTCACCATGTGGCCCTGGCTCCTTTCCACCCACATCCTCAGAGGGAACTCAGGAAAATGGTCAGCTCAGAGTGAGGGGGACAAGGAACCCTTATGTTGCGCTATTGGGTGACACAGGAGCCCAAGAAGGGGCGATGAACACAGAGACTCAGGACCACTGGAAGCAGAGCATAAAGGACCCCATTCAGGAAGGCATGAGAACAGCCAGGAGAGAGGCAGGATGGCTCCGCTCACCTCACCAGAGCTCTTGCCATGGCTGCACACCACTTGCACTCTTTTCTACTATGCACTCTGGTCACTATTACAAGTGGAAAATCAGTATCCCTTGCCATAAACAGAAGTTAACCAAAAATAAAAACAAAAAATATAAAAACAAATAACAGTGTTATTAATCTCTAATTTGACTCTATTTTCTGCCAGGTGCAGAGGCTGAGGCTCGCTCTAGATTTGTTGAAAAGGGAGATGGGCTTAGGTGTTAAAGACGGGCTAGCCCCACAGTGAAACTTCCCCCAGGTGTCATCAGAGGGATTGTGCGATTTAAAGATATGCAATGTTTCATCCTATGCCAGGTAACATTTCAGGTAATATTTCCTACTTCCCTCAGTTAAAGAACCCACATTACAGGGAACTAGAATATTTTTTTTCACCAGCCTACTGTGATGCCTGAATTTTCCACATGAACCAGACCCCTAGATTACAAACCACAATTGAAACAACGTGCTCCCCAGAGCACCACCCCACTCAGGGGATGAGCCATGAAGCGGACGAGCCTGGGGCTCTGAGGTCCAGGCCCCATTCCCCCACTCAATAGCTGTGTGCCTTTGGGCACATTTTCTAACTCTCTGGGCCCCAAGTTCCTTCATTTGTAATCTGTGAGGTTGGAGCAAAGGTTGTCCACTTCCCAGACTCTAGGAGCTTATGGGCTATGGACAATGCATTCCTCCAAGCATCAGCTCCCCTTCTACTGGGTCTCCAGGGGCAGAGACAGGACTTAGGTCCACAGCGATGGAGAGCCAGTGAAGGTGTGATACGGGAGCATATCATGCTTAGAAGTCTGTGTTGGGAATATCCTTTTGACAGCACGGGTGGGAGGCTGTCTCAGGGCTGACGCCGGAGGTGGGACGGCCTGACGCTTGTGTCGGGGAAAGAGCAGCGGGTGGTGGCGGGTGGGCTGGAGAAAGCAGATGTAGGGTCCGAGTGGGGCTTTCCATACCTTTCAGGAAGCTGATCACTTTGCCCCATTTTCCTGCATCAAAGGGGTGCAGTTTCTCCAGCCCCAGGAAGGTTATGTTGTAGCGCGGTGAGTACACGATGGGCCAGCGTGACTCTGGCACATGCTGGTACAGCTGGGTTGGGTGTGGCCTTCCATGGGCACAGGGACAGACATGCACAGACAGGAAGAGTCTCACTGTGGGAAGCAGCTTCCCCTTCTGCGCCAGCAGGCTGGGATTGAGCAGACAGCCCTGACCCAGTACCACCAGCTCCCTCGGTGGCAGAAAAAGGGCCACTTACCAACAGCAACAAAAGTAATAATAGCGGTTCCTTACTGAGCTCCCTGAACCATTCAACCCAATCCTCACAGCAGCCCTGGGGGGTAGGCACCACCATCCCACGGGAGGCTCGGGGAGGGAACCAGGTGCGCCCAAGGTCACACGGGTCTGTGGAACAGCAGATGTGAACCCAGGTGTGCCTGGCTGTAAGGCCTCAGCACCTCACCTCCACATGATAACAATTACATCAACAGCTCTGTGGCGTTAGGCCTAGCTTTCCTCAACCGTAAAATGTGTGGCTGTTGAGAGGAATGAGATAACGCATTTAACAAGTGAGCACAGAAAGCGCCCTTTCCCTGAGAGCTGAGGTGACGGTTCCCAGAAACAGCAGGTCGGGTCTCACGCAGGCTGAGGCCCAACCCGGAGCCAGGAATGGGGTCACCTCGGGCCCCGCCGCGCAGCTGACCCCCATCACACCTCCGCAGCTGCCGCACAGGGAACAGAAAGCCGGCTGCCACTGCGGGGGCCTCCGCTTAGCTGGTGGGGCCCGAGGGCAGACGTCAGAGCTGCGCCTGTAGCGAGCCCCCGCCGGGACGGCGCCCGCGCCGGCGCCCGTCCCGTGGGCCGCAGATTGGCTGCGCTGGGCTGGTCCGGCACGCGGGGCCGGCCTGGCCACGAGAGGCCCGAGCGCCCCTCACCCGCCATACCTGGGCCCGCACCTGGCGGGCTCGCCCGGCCGCCCGCGCACTGGTGCCCCCGCCCACCGGGACCCCCGGGAACACCCCCGGGCTTGGCCCGGCGCCCCATCCCGCGCCCCCATCCCCGCCCCCACCGCACTCACATGCCGGGGCCGGGCCCTCCCAGCGCTGCCACCACTCCGCGACCGGGCGGGCCGGGGAGAGGCCCCGCCCAGGACACGCCCCCGGCCTCGGTCGTCTCCACTGGGGGGCGGAGCTCCGAAGACGGCTCCGCCCCGCCTCCACTCTCGCCTGCGTCACAGCACAGAGTTCTGGAGTCCCGCACAGAGCGCCTCTGCGGGAGGGAGGCCACGCCACCCAGCGCCCTTCAAGCGCGAAGTCCCCCCTTCCTCAGACTAACACCCAGTGAGATCTCGCCCGGCTCGGAAGCCGCGCCCCTTATGGGGAGGACCGCTCGTCCCAGAATTGGAACGGGAGGCATCGCCTCGCCCCATGGGAGGGGCCAGTCTATGCCCCGCCCCCGGCCGCCAGGCCTTCCTGCGCGGTCTCAGGGCTTGGGCGTCCTAGGTGTTAGGGACGCCGGGCTTCCCGGCGGACTCCGAGGTGGAGCCGCTGTGTGGCCTTGGGCAAGCGTCCGGGCTCTGTGGTCTCTGTCTCCACCAGTAAAATGGAAGAGTGGGGGCCGTGTGTTCTGGCCCTGACATCTCCGACCTAATGGGACGCATGACCACGCTGACTTGAGGCCACCCACTCCCCGCCACTGCCCAGCCCCATCTGGCGGCTCTGACATGAGACAAGCGCTCTCCACACAGTTCTTTAGGCTTTCTGAGCCTCAGTGACCTTACCAGTAGAGTCAGACTGGTGATTCAGTCTTCAGGGTACAGTTGTTTATCTGCGCACTCACCCCTCCCCCACCCCGAGAAACCAAGAGGAGCCCAGTAACAGCTGAGAGTGTCTTGGGGCAGGATCCTGGGAGGAGGCCCCAACAATAGAGCCCCAGAGGACAGAGACAATGGGCTTCTCTGTAGGCCCAGCTGCCCCGCCCACCAAACAGAAGCAGCTGACCCCAGGGCTGCCAGGAGCAGGGCAGCTGAGATCGCAGTGTCGGTGTGACGGGGGTGGAGGTGAGGGGGCACCATGAAGGGGAAGGGCACAGACGTTTGAACAGTGCCCTCCACGTGCCCATCACCTGATTGCACGATGACCCTGGATTCTCACAACATAATCCTATGAGGGTTACCATCATCACCCTAATTTTATCATGAGGTAACTGAGGTTCAGGTCTGGATTAAACCCAGACAGCCGCCTGCCTGCAGCGCTGTGGCCTTGGGTAACTGGCTTCGGCTCTCTGGTCTTTCATTTCTGTGTCTGAAAATGAAGTGATGCCTGCCCCTCCACCCATGGGGAGGCTGAGAGAATCCAAAGAGATAATCATGCTAATTATTATTTAAATAGCACATAGCTTGTGTTAGGTTCAATTCTAGAAGCTTTATGCTCATTTGATCCTTACAGCACCCCTAGGAGTGGAACTATGGTTATCCCATTTTATAGATGAGGAAACTGGGGCACAGAATGAAGTAATTTGCCAAAAGGTCAGGGATGTGGAGAGATAAAATATAGCCACAGAAAGAAAAAATTAATATTTAATAACAACAAGGGAGAAAGTGCACACAGTGGTCCTGTGTCATTGAGAGAGGCTGACTTCATCTCAGGAGCTTGCTCTGTGGTTTGGGAAGTCACATGGATGAAACTGTTGTTGAGAGAACAAAGATCTGGGGCAGACTGGATTGGAGAGCTGAGGCCATAAAGAGTGGGATTGCTCTGGGGAAGAGGGTTTTTTAAGTTGTGTCCTGTGTGGCTGAGGAGAGAGGCGCTCTGAGGAGCCCTGGGGCTTGAGAACACCTTCAAACCTCCATGCCAGCCTGGACCACCTACACACGCTATTACCTCTGGGAGAAATAAACTATGTTATTCGTGCTGAGTGTTTCGGGGCCTCTTTGTTACAGAATCCTAGTCTATCTGCTCACCAACACACCACGCTGGGACAAAGCAGCGAACCCAGCAGGCAAGATCTAAAAGGCTTTGTCAAGCTCACAGGTTAGGGGGAGAGACAAATCTTAACCTACCCAGGAAACAAATAATCATGATTACAAAGTGTCGAGAAGTGTTGTGAAAGGGACAAGGTGTGATTGTGAGAGAGAATTAGGAAGCCCCTGATTTAGACAGTGATTAGGAAGGCCCCTTGGAAGAGATTATTATTTTTCACTTTTTAACCATGTATATCTTATTTTAAATGACAGTGCGACAAAACGAGACCCTGAATTATCGAACATTTATATTGTTTCCCCCCTTTCATGAAGTCTTGGAATATATTTCAACTGAAAGTGAATAAGGAGCCCCCAAAACATGACACTTCTTTTGAACAATACAGTTATACAAAGGGCAACATGAACTGTAGAAATGTACCAAAGGTGAGTAATAATTGGCACAGACCCAAGATTTCAGTATTAGTTAATACTAGTTAAATTGACGTGGTTTTAAAACCATGCCCTTTAAGTTCATGTAAACACCCTCTTTCCATTCCACTGCTGTACCTTGGCAATTTTGTCCATATTTAACACCACAGCAACAATAACAACAATGATATTAGCTAGTGTTCGTTAAACCCTGAATCGGGGCCAAAGCACTGCCAAGTATGTAAAATGTGTTTTGCTATTTGTTTATTGGTGAAGAGACGGTTTTTTAAACAAGCAAAGAAAACTGCAAGTGCAGAGGCATGGATGCCAGAAGGAGCTTGTATTCAAGAAACAGAAAAAGGGGAGTGTATATTTTATTCCTGCCACAATGTGAAACTGTAAGTAATAGGCAGGGTCTCAGGAGAAAAGAGAGGACCCACTCAGTGGTTTATTGAAAACAGTTTAATGAAGGGGTAATTTATCTGAAGTGTGTGTTTGGAGGTGTTCAGGGTGTGTAGGAGAATCAACAGGGGATGGTACAGTACTTGTGCTGGCAACAGTGGGAAGCCTTCATCCCCTAAACCTGAAGAGAGTGGGGGAGGAGTGGTTTCTGGAAGAAGTGAGAGCTGCAGGTATGAGTCAAGAATCCTCTGAGAAGAGCAGCGTTTAGGGAGATTCAGCCACTGCCAAAACTGGGGGTTGGCAGGGAAAATACCCCAACTTTTCTCTCCTCCCACCCTCCGATGCCCACCGATGCTTCCCATTGGCTGTCTCCCACTGGTGCCTCCCATTGGCTAGGTCCCATTGGCTATCTTCCTTTGGTGCCGCCCATTGGTTGAAGCCAACTTGGAGCCTAGCCTAGGAAGCCCAGGTGATGATGTCCACAGAGGTGAGCTTCATGAGGGGACACAAATCAGTGTGGAAAGCTGTAGCAAGTGCATCTGGGGGATGGGGATAAGCGGAGAATAACCACTGGTGTTCTAGGTGACCTTGGAGATTTCTGCAGACCTTTCTGAGCCAACTTTATAACAGGAGTGAGTTAGACTTGAAAATCGACCCTGTCCCCAGTACTGTTGACCCAGAGCACGCACAGGGCCTGTCACCATGGAAACCTGAAAGTCGGCTTGGCCACCTCTGCCTACCATCCAAACCATACCCCAAATCAAAGAGCTGGTCCAAGAGCTGACCAGGTGGCGCATCTGTAGAGCCTCAGGCCTTAGCCTCAGACAGACAGGTTGGCAGGGCCTTTCGAGACCAGCAAGGATGTTTGGACATACTGGGTGGGATGAAATCATCGCTCCCATCACTGGGCTCCTAGCGGCAGTTTGCTCCACCAGGGAGGACTGGCCCTGAGGGAACTCGCTCCACCGCTATGGCATCTCAGCCCACAGCTGCCTGGTCTCTGTCACTTGAGGGCCCGGGAGGCCAGCAACAAACAGCGCACAGGCACTCGGGGTGTCCCTCAGCTGCACACATGGAGGGACACACACCCCACAGCCACAGGTAAACACCCACCGCATTACACCCAGATGCACACAACAACGCATGCGCGCCCACAGCGCGGTCCACCACGCCCAGCCCGCGACCCTCCACCCCGGCCAATTCTTCCGTTCTTCCAGTACCGGTTTTCCGGACTGTCCCGGGATGAAGGTGGGATGCCCCTCAGTGTGCCCCTGTGGATCCCTGATGTCTGCTTCATCGAGGTGCCTCTG